TCCCATCTCCCATGGAATGTCCATATCTAACCTTTCCATGTCTTCTTAGCAATCTGGCATTCCAAAAAACATGAGATATCGTCTTCGGAAACATGTTACACAACGAACACCAAGTATTAGGAATGCCAACACCTCTATAAGCCAAATTAATACGAGTGAGTAACCTATCTATCGATAAACGCCAAAAAAAATTATTAATTTTCCTAGGAATGAATTTGTTCCAAGAATTCTCCCTTTCACTATCCGGCAAAATAATATCTTCAATTTGTTTTCTCTTATATTTAACATCAAAGTTTTCATCATTACTAAATTCCCAAATCCAAGCATTGAACCCATCTTCTAGTTTGATGTTACTTGGCAAAGATAATAAAGCATTTAATTGATCAATTTCTACATCCTCATGGAGGTCCCTATGCCAATCTCATCTCCACTAATTATCGACCCAATGATCTTTAACATGCATCATTTATTGTTCTCAAGACCAATTAGAGTAGCGAAACAAATCCTTAAATGAATACTACCAATCCACACATCTTCCCAAAAAATAATATCTTCGCCACTAAGTACTTTTCTAAGCAAAGAAGACATTAGAACAATACCTTTATGATTCATTTTGTGCCAAGCCATCATAATCCTCGGCCAAATACATTGCCCACGAGGTTTTACACCTCCCACCATATATGCATTCTTCCGACAGATTGATTTAATAACATGAACCTATAACGTGTCTTTTTCATACATAAACCTCCATTGCCATTTTTGAAGAAGCACATGATTGAAAGCTTCTAATCTTCCAATTCCAATACAAACCTTTTTCTTTCGAAGCAATCGTTAGATCCCAACTGACCCAATGAATCTTCTTGGAATTTTCATCAACACCCTAGAAAAATCTTGCTCGTAAAGCCTCCAACTTTCTTTTAACCTGTAAAGGCATAAAAAAGTGACATATAATAGATTCCAAGAGAGCCAAGAGCAGCCGATAGTAGCATTGACCTTCCACTAATCAAAAGCATATTTGATTTCCATTTAGACAACTTTTTTTTTCAAATCTATCAACAATCACATGCCATCCTTGAATTTGAGTCATATTTAAACCCACAAGGATCCCTAAATACAAAAAAGGAATTTTGTCTGCGACACAACCCATCAAAATCGCCATGTGGTTGACATCATCGAAATCCACCTTTACCCCATATAATTTTGATTTTTGTAGATTCAATCTCAAGGCCGAAGCCATTTAAAAACAGGTGAAAACTGACACAATATTTACAACATTTTAAACCTTCCAATCACCCGTCATTAAAACATCATCCACATAAAAAAGATGTGATAATGGGAACTTATTTTTACCAAGCTTTAAATCATGAATAAGACCTGCATCATCCGCATCTTTAATCGCCACATGAAGACCTTCCATAGCTAATATAAAAAAAAGAAGATAATAGATCACATTGTCTTAACCCCCTTTCCAATCAAAATTCATCGGTTGGACTACCATTAACCAAAATTAAAGTTGTGGCCGACACCAGACAAACTTTAATCCATCCTATCCATTTGTTCTCAAACTCCATAAACTTCATAATTTTTGGTAAGTAATCCCAAATGAACGAGTCATAAGCCTTAGCAAAATCAACTTTCAATAACACCATCTTTTTTTCTTTTCTTATGCCACTCTACAATCTCATTGACTATTAATGGACCATCGAAGATTTGCCTATTTTTAACGAACGCAGATTGCTCCAAACTAACAATATTATTTACCACCCTAGCAATCCGATTTGCTAATAGTTTGAAAATTATTTTGTAGTGCAAACCAATTAAAGTAATTGGACGATAATCAGAAATTACCATCGGGCTTGAAATCTTTGGAATCAACGTGATGAAGGACACATTACATCCAAATCGGATCTTTGCTTCAAAATAAAATTCCGTTACAAAATCCATAATTTCATTCTTCAAAATATCCCAATTCTTTTCACAAACTGAAATGAAAAACTATTTGGACATAGTGACTTATTACCACTACAAGACCAAACGGCTTCACGAAACTCCTCAACCGAGAAAGGCAACTCGACGGCATACGCTTGAGCCAAAGTCAGGCTTTTAAACTTTTGGCTACGGTTTTGAAGCGTAACCCCATCAAATTTCTTGAATTTTTTCTTTAAAATACTCAAAAATAACACATCTTTAACGTTCTCCAGTTCGTGAATCCAAACTCCATATTTTTTATTCCACTTATAGCAAGATGTCGTCTTTTTTTATTTATAATCTCATCATATGATAATATTTTGAGTTTTCATCTCCTTTTATTGCCTATTTAATCTTAGCTTTTTGACATAAATCCAGCATTTTTTTTTGTTCTAAGTCACGAAGCTTACTAATAATACTGACGATTATCCAACAATGGTTGAGAGACACGTCGACCATCAATTTCTTTTTCAATATAACTATGTTTTTGTAATAACTCTTTCTTTCCACCACTATTTTCACTTATCTTTCTTTTTATATTCTAATTTAAGATAATAATCCGATGAGCTTATATCCACCAGGTATTTAATGAAATTGAGTGGGTGGGATGCAATGAAAGCTTGAGATTTTATTATGACAAGGAACCCATATCATACACACATAATAAATGGAGTAATGTTGCCTATCATCGACACCTTGCTAATAAAAACTGTCGATCTCTTGTATATAGGTATTACCTTTATTCGTTACCTTTCTTAATTTTTATCCAAGTGTTTGTCACATATCTTGATTTAGTTACTAATTGCTTACGAAACTATAGTCACTATTGCTCGAATTATTCATGCATGCACTTAGTACATATAGAACTTGAAATCAAACTAACATCCTTTACATTGTGGAATTTTTTTCCTTCTTTGTTTGAGCAGTGGAGATCTAGACATGTCCGTTTCCTATTTGAGTACGTTGAAATGGATTGAATCGCTAAATTTATTAGTCAATAATGATTGGGGACCTTGGTTTGTCGATGGACAAGTAGCCGGGTTAGTTGTTTTTTTCATTAGGAGAGACATGATTTACTATGTCAGATTAATTAAATTCTATAATTTTTTTCTAATGTTTCAATCTGATTTTCTATTTTATTTTCTTGCAGCTACACTATGAAATATTTACATAATGACTACAACTTAACATTTGCTACTATAAAGGTACAAAATCTTCCTTCCATTAACTTCTCTACCACATTGTGTTATTGTCTCGTGAAAATGGTAATGTTTGGATTTTTTAAAAGGCTTACTATTTTTTTTTTAATGTAGCAATACTTGTGAACTTAAACTTTAATTTCAGCTTGATGACATGTTTGTAAACCTTTTGAAATAGAAAGAAAGTTTGCCATTTTTATGAGGCAAAAGAACCATTTCATGTCATGATGACCATGATGTTTGATATATTTTTGTTCTTAAAGGGAGGAGGTCACATTGCTCCGGATTATAAACCAAATGAATGTTTAATGATGCTTATGAGGTGGTTTCCAATGACGCTTTGTAAGTGATATTCGAAGAGTTTGATTTTTGTTTCTTGTGTTGAATAAATTCGTTTGTATTGTTTACCTTCAATAACTTTGTTTGAATAAAAATTATAGTATGTATATTTAAAATTGTTTACCTCTGATTCTACTAAGATACTACTTTCCACATAGCACATAATCAGGTTCGGTCTAAAGGTATTTGATGTCCAAGATGAAAGTGTTTAATGATACCCTATGATTGTTATGTTGGTACAACCACAATGAAGTCATATATGTATATTACAACCACAATATATTTAATCTTAAGACTAATAAGCTTAATTGCTAAAGAGAAACATCTATAAATTTATTTAAAATACATATCATAATACTAAAAGAAAATAACAAGTAACGTTAACTAAAATTCCACTAAACATATTGAAGAGTATGCAAACTATATAAAGATTTAATACAATTATATAATATTAAACCACTAACCATCTAACATTCAACATAATCATAATCCATACATACAGTTTTGCTTAAAAACGTCTCTCGGCTAAAACAATTCATAATATATAAATACTAATACTCTTTCCTTTAAACGATCTTGCTTGGATTCTATCCTCTTAATAAAATCATTGCTACAACTAGGGCTGTAAACGAACTGAACGTTCAATAAACTGTTCGTGAACCGTTCGGTTGGAAGTTCGTTTATATTCGTTTATTTAATAAATGAACGAACATGAACACAAATTCTCGTTCGTTTAATTAAACGAACGAACATGAACAATGGTCTCATCCGTTCAGTTATGTCCGTGAACGTTCGTTTATGTTTTTTTGTTTACATTCGTTTATGTTCGTTCACCTAACTTCCTTTTATGTTCATATATGCTTAATTGTGTTTGATTATATTAATATGTCATATGTTCAATTATGTTTCTTTTATCTTTGTTTAGTTATGCTCGTTCGTTTATGTTCGTTTAGCATGTTTATGAACATAAAAGAACGAACATAAACAATGTAATTTGTTAAACGAACAAACATGAACAAGAAAACTTGTTCGTTTATCCATTCGTGTTCTTTTATTTGTTCAGCTAACTTAAACGAACGAACATGAACAAGCCTCGCTCGTATTCGTTTGGCTGGTTTACAGCCCTAGCTACAACATAATGATAACATTTTTCAAGTTAAAACTTAATCCTCTTTAACTTATATCCAAGTGAAATTCGATCCCATCTTTGTCGCCAAGAAAGTAAAATCAAATCATACCTAACTCAATCAATCGAAACATGTCCTAATGTTGAAAAAAAAATCTCAAATAATAGTTATATACATATATCCACTAGTAGACCATATACCATAGATAGAAAATAGTCAAAATACATTAAAAAAAATAATCAAGAAAGAAATTAGCCCATGTTTAAGGTTGCAAACGGAACGTCTAAAATCAGGGACATACGTCTGACAGTTATAGTGACATCAAATATTTTTTCCGCTCATATATAATAACTTAAAAAAAATTAAAAGTACGAGTACATTAAAAATAACAAACTAGTAACTCTAGAACTTACATTTTAAAGTTGACATGTAAGTGTACATATTTTTTTAAAAACGATCCGTTACAGCTTTAGTCTTCACTTTCATTTGCTAATTTCCACTTCTTCACCCCTTTTTCTTTCTTCTACTTTGCAAGAAATACCCCCGAAGCCCCGGTATCAATTCCGACACCCGAAGCAAGTCCCGAAGCCCCGAAGATCCCGAGAAAAATAGTTTTTAAGCCGAAACTATGCTCGCGTGAAGCCCGGTTTTGGAGAAAACATCCCAGTTTTATCTGAAAAGATTATTTTAAGAGACAAGGTGCTGTCCGATCATCGTCTTATCAAGTGAGTGTGTAGTTACTTTCTTCTAACACATAAATATGAAGTATTTACTATGAAATACGTGCTATGTGTTTATATATTATTTGTTTATTTGAAATAAGTGTTGAATAAATGTTTTATACAAGTTTTAAACTGTATATGTATTTTTATCTACAAATATGTTGGGTTAAAACATGGGTAGATAGTTGATGTGTGATAAAATGATGAGATAAGTGATGAGCGATGAAAGATGAGCGATGATATATGAGTGGTAAGATATGGTGAGAAGCGATTAGCCAAGCGATGAACCAAACGATGACCCAAGCGATGGCCCCGTCATTCAGTAGAGTAGGGATGACAACCACGGACTATTCTAGACAGTCCAGTGGAACACTAGCAAGCTCGCAACTTGTAGGTGTTGTGAACTTGATGTTCACCGATGTACTCTAAAAACCCATTGACATGTATTGCGAGAGGGGATCGAAAATGATACTGTCAATAAACGAGATAAACTTGTTATTAATCCGGAAGTATGGATTAAGACATAGTTAATTGTCCCTAGTCCGGGAGTATGGATTGGGCACAGTTTTAGATGCGGGAGTATGGATCAGATCAGGAGGTTAGTTTTAGATCCGGGAGTATGGATCAGACCAAGAGGTTAGTTTTAGATCCATGAGTATGGATCAGGTAAAGAGGAAAATTTTAAATACGAGAGTTTAGATCGTGTCGTTGTGAGCATCGATGGGGTGGGATAAGAGTTGCTTTTATATGGTGAAATTGTATAAGTTTGTGAGTTCTAATATATATATATATATATATATATATATATATATATATATATATATATATATATATATGATATAACATTGTGGGTTGAAAACCCTATATGCTCACCAGGCTCCCAAGCCTTACCCACTGAGTTTATTTGTATCACAGGTATCGATACGAAACTGCTTTGCATTGAGAGATTAAAGGAGATGTAAATCACTAGTGTAAATGAATGTATGTTCTGTTTATGCTTTTGGTCTGTATCGATGTGGACATCCCGAGTTTTGTAATAACACGAAAATACATTTCTTTAAGAAATGCTTTGATAAATATTTATTATATTTTGTTTTGGAGACAAATTCCGCAACAGTTTTCTTTAAACGATTACTCTGATTTTAAAAACAAAGCATAAACAAATCGGTCTTTTCTGGCCGTGAAATTGGGGATGTCACAGTTGGTATCAAAGCATTAGTGTAAGCGAACTAGGAATTTGTAGGAAATTTCTAGACTTAAACTTAGAATGCTAAGTAATGATCGTGAGGAGTGTGTCTAATATATTTTAGGTAGTACACCTAAATTGACACGAGCACTAGTTTATTTTAGGAAAGATGCCTAAAATGCCTTTATGTGCTAAATGTTATATGCTATTATTTGTTCGGATCTATGGTCTGTTGTCGACCGGATCTGGGAATTTTATGTGATCTGGTTTCTAAACGTTTAATTACGATATTAGAACTGGCATGTAATTTTTCGAAGTAATGAGGAGGAATATGCGTCTAAACCTTCCTCTATCTATATTCTCATCTCGATACATCGAACGACCGCTTTGGTGTGCAGAACATCATGGTGAAGACTCGTAGAGAATTAAGTAAATGGAGGAAATGAAAAGGCTTATGATGATGAACGACACCTATCAGAAGATATCGTAAGAGTGGTATCTTGCCTTTAGAATACGCCTGATAAAATAAAATTACGTTTAGAGGAGTACGGTACGTCTGAAGTACACTTTCGATTGGCAGGATGATGGAACGATTGGTGTAATTCTTGAAGTTGTCCTATCATCTGGTATTTCCATCACCAATCGAGTTGAAGTAGAATTGATGATTGAAGATACGCAATGAAAAAGTCCTAGTAGAGTCTAGGGAAATTTTGATGATTATTTGGACACATTCCTATGTGTTAAATTGTTTTGTGATTTTAGGACTTGGAGACTGTGAGACAATACTTGGAACGAGTATGAGTAGGTGTGAAAGGTAGTAGATTCACAAGGTTACCAAGAAACTAGTAATTGATTCTGTTTTATTCAGGTATGTCATTACCCTTGTTTCGGTAATGACTAGTATGATGGTTGTTATTCCGACCCTAGTGGTCATATCAAAGTTGAGTCCGACTACGATGAGTTTGTTACGTGGTTCAGAGAACCGAGTTCGATGTAGCATCTGACTTAAGTCAGAAGATTGAAATCAATGCGATCAATAGTATCACACTCGTTGTTAAAAGAGGTTTGTAGCTAGAAAGGCTACATGCTAAAAATGTGATTATATCACATTAGAATATGAAGGAATGTATATTCCATTTTGGAATTTAACTCTAAAAGGCATGAGTCTAAGCGTTGCATCATGCGATGAGAGGTCATTAGAGCACGACCCATCGGTCTGTTACAATAGATAAAGGAAATCATTTATCCTAATAAGAAGAAGGAGTCCACAATAACGAATTATTTTGTAACTTGAAGGTTACGATTGAAAGTCCAACATAATACGAAAAGCAGATGCAAGATTGAGCATCTTCTGCAGTCAGGAAGCCCTAGAGTTAAATACTCTTTCGAGGAAACATAGAAGTTACGGTTATTACCTAGGATGAAGAGATAACGTATGGAATCATTATGCAAGCCCTATTTCGTTGATGATTCTGGGACATAATCATCCTAAGGGGGAGATAATTGTAACGCCCGTAGATCAGGGCTAGTCAATTTAGAGACGATAAGCGTCAAAAATGACTTTTCGATATAATCGTGTTTAGAATAAATAATCTTAACCAAGTTGTAGTATATGTCACAAGGTTTCCGTACATATAAAGAACGCTGAAATCCTAGTTATAACGAAGAAGTTATGACTTGTCGAAGTTTCGCGACAGAACCGGCACTACACAACGCGACGTAAATAGTGAATTTACGATGGAGCGATTTTTGGCGTTAGTAATCTAAACGAAAGTTGTAGAATACGTTAAACCGAGAGCGTGCATAAAAAGAACGCCCAAATCTGATTTCGTATGAGGAAGTTATGATTTTTCTAAGTTTCGACTTAGCAGTATGCAGCCCAAAACTCGAATATGAGATCGAGTGATTTCTAGCCGAAACAATCTAAACGAGAATTGAAGATCTCGTTAATAGTAGCGCAATGGTAAAAAGACAGA